CAATCATATACCAAGTCCTCAGATTTTACCTACTCAATCCTTCTGTAATTTATCCACTTTTCTCCATTCCCACTTTTAATACCCTAGTCCAAGTTATAATTATTTCTCACTTGGATTACTACAATACTCTCCCTTACCTGGTCTCTCTACCTCTTCTCTTACCCAACTCTAGTCCATTCTCCACATTATAATCAGAGACATCTTTTCAAAAGGCAAATCTGATCATGTCATTCACCTACTTAAAACTCTTTGGTAGTTAGGGCTGTGTTAAATAATTTTCAAAAATGGCCATGATTATTCCCCTCCCTGTACCCACATCCCTCTGTAAAGTGACTTTGCAGCTCCTCCTACCAAAAGGTAGAGCTTATTTTCCCACCTCATGAATCTGGGCTGGCCTTGACATTGCTTTAACCAAAAGAATGTGGTAGGAATGATGCTGTTTCAGCCCGTTCTCCAATATACAAGATTAAAAGGTCTCACTTGGCTCTGCCCATAAAAACTCCATGCCAAGGTATATTCAAACAGAAGGTGACACTCTGGCTCCATTAATGTCTTCTTCCAACAAACTTATTGGGCTCCTACTATATATGTTAGGTCATGCATTAAATCCTAGGGTTACAAAGACAAATAAAACACAATCGCTATCCTCGCATAACTCATAATCCAGAGCAATAAAGGGTTATAGATGTTATCTAGAAATCTCTACAGTATACAGGAGAGCACAAAGGAAGAAGGGTCAATTCTGCCTAGTGCGAAGAGAGTCCAAAAAAGTTTCACAGAGAAGTGCTATATGAGCTGAGTCTTGAAAGAAGAATAGGCATTTAGCCAGGGAGAGAAGGGTAACTTTAGTTGAAGGAGTACTAGGAATGGTGAAAATAAAAGTACAGAGGTGTAAAAAAGAATGTAGAAGTCAGAGAACTATAAGCAACTCTCCATAGCTATATGGCAGAGTATTGAGTATGGGGTTATACTGGTGAAATGGTAATATATAAGGCTGGAGGGGTAAGCATGGTTAGATGACTGAGGGCCTTAGGAATTTGTGCTTTATCCTAAAGCAATGTGTTTACAGGTGTAGGAGAAAGAAGTAGTAGCAAGCAAAGCAGAAAATTCGGGACAGTGTTGGAAAAACTGATGGAGCAAGTTTCCAGGGGAGGCAAAGGAAAATGGGGTAAAAGATATAAGTGAAGGAACTGGTCCTAAATAGGAGGATGGAATCTTCTTTCTGTAGGGCTAGAGAAAAGGAAATGAAAGTGGGTCTGGGTAAAGATAAAATCATGCGTATGGGGTAGTATGCCAGGGAAATCAATATCTGTTAGCTAGGAGTTTCTTGCAGGAGGAGGCAGGATCATTTTCTGAAACAGGAAATTGGTGATGTTTGAGAACAGCTGCTGAGAGAAATGGAAAGGTGGTCCCAGGGCAGGTGTAAAATTGCAGGGTGGTCTGAGGGATCAGCTAAGATTGGAGCCATGAACTCATAGTGATGCCAATTTACAACACTGCATAATATTTCTCCTGAAGACTTTAATAGAACAGATGTAGAAGTAGACAAAGTAGATGTCAGAGTAATGCAAAGTTGAAGGTTCTGAGGGCAGATACAGCAAAAGGAAAGTGAGTGAGGATATGGAAGGAAATGCCTGAGGTAATGTGCCATAGGGTCTAGACTGGATGAAGAAAAAATGAAGGAGAGAAAGAGGAGGGAGAAAAGGGTGGTCAGGGGCTGAAAGATATAATGAAATTGAACTCATTATATCTAGGAAACAGGATTCTAGGTAAAATGGCAGATTAAATACAGGCATTAACCCTTATTCCTTTTGAATGCTCATTAAAGTGACAGTAAAGGGTTTTGTTATTGTTTCTTAAAAGGCATAACTCTCAAGCACTAATATTAGGAAAAGAGAGGACAGTAACAAAATTTTTAAAGCTAGAAAGGATAGTGGTAACAGATTTAGTATATCTAAGAAAGCTGAAATCTAAACCAGCTATAGGGAAAGCTGAGTACTGCAGAAGCCCTTAAATGATCAGGAATCGGCTTAAGGATGGTGACATGGAAGTTCTTTCACAAAGAGCCTCTATATGTCTTTATAGAAGTGAGAGTTAAGAGTAAGAATAAAAGTCTCATTGCCTATGCTGGACAAGATACATTGGGAAAGGTTCTTGACCTCGACTTCCACACGTCTCTCTGTACTCCCTCTCAGTAAAAACTGCAAAATTAGAGAAGTACCTTATTAATGGCTGGTTTGCAGCAGTAAGGATACTAATTTGGATAAAGAGTATTTCAAGACTTTCCATATCACTGGGAAAATAAGAATGTAAACCCATTTCCCATCATCTGTGATCCCCAAAAGACAGATCTAGCTGTGATCTTCAAGGTTTAAGTCCTTATCTTGCCAAAGGTAAATGTCTAAACTTTCCAAGATTAACATGTGAACATTTTATTCCATTTTAAAGATAACTTTTAGAAGCTTGTTTTAATATTTTCATTACCCTTCCGGTAAAAAACCTTGACAAGTATTCAAAAGAAAACAACATAACACTGGAGAAAAGCTACATGATTTTCTTATTAAATACTTGGCACAAATATCTTTTACTTATGAATTATTAAAAACACATGTCTTTCAGAAATACAACAGGAATTTTAGAGCTGTGTCTGTGGAGGGGGGGTCTTTAAAGAACTAAACCAATTTTAGTTGGGAAAACTAAGGCTTAGAGAAGCAAAGTAATTTGCTCAAGGTGATATAGCTGGTTGTCTCAAGACTAAATTCTAAATTCTCTGGACTTGAATTTCCAGTACCATGCTCTTTCTACCAGCAGCATTCTTTCCTACTATGTATAATGTGTCTCCTATGCGATTCAGTAATGAATCGATTTAACATGTGGGAGAGGTGTTGTGCTTTCTCTGAATGCACTGAGGTAGTAAGAATCTGGAGTAAAGTTACCAGCACTACCTGCTGACTGCACAGCTCTGTACCAGGACTCCCACTCCAACAAGCGTCTTACACCATCTCACTTTCCAGGACCAAATATGCCTGAGGCCCAAAGAAACAGAACATTCTCTTACAATCAGGCAAACACTTCATGCTCTCTCAGAAGGAATGTACAGACAGGATGTATATTCCCTCATCACTGTCTCTTTCTCCAACAATCAGTACAAAAGTAAGAAAACTTTAAAACAAGAGTTTTCTGACTCTCCCAGATATATACACAAAGGCCTTTTCTAAGATAACTTTTGTGTTTGCCCTTTAGGAATTAGCCCCCGCCTTTGGAAATACAGTTTTTAAAAAAATATAGGAAGTATTATATTCTCATATTCAAAAGTGCTTGAAAATCTGAATCTAATTAGTTTTTCTCACCATCTCACTGAGGCCAGGAGGAGCACAATGCCCCCGAGGGTCATAGGAATGAGGGGGAAGAACATTTTACTGCTCATTTATCCAGCCAGCTGCCCTATTACAACTACGTAGACTCCAAAGATCCTGAACCACTGGGGTGTAGATTGCAAGTTAGAAGAATGGAGGAAAAAACTTGCCAACAACCAAAAATGAGTCTTAGGAAATGTTAGAAGATTTGGTCTTAATAGCCCCAGTGCTTACCCAAGGCCCCCAGCTCAATAGCTCTGAGGGGAAAATACACCTCCTTTTGCTCTGTATTTTTACCTTACCTCTGGCTATGTCCATCTTCTTTGCTCTCATCATGTCCAAACCTTGCTCTTTTGGGCAGGGTCCACTGGGACTAAGGCATTTATTAATAGTCCACTATATGGAGCCATAAGCTAACTAGCCATAAGCTAGCTAGCCATAAGCTAACCAAGGAGGTTAAAAAGAAAGCAGGAGACAATCTCCGCCCTCTAGCTGTAACTATATAAACAAACGACTAGCTTCTAAGAACTTAATGTCTAAGCCTGCCCACGCTAATATAGAGCAAAGCATGAACATTAGTACTTGATGGATGTATAAATGAGTAAGGTCCCTTGTTTCACATAATAATAGATAATCACAATTAGTTCTTCTTTCTGCATATCAAAGGACACGATCCCTTTACCCTTTGAAGTCTTGTGTGTGAATCTAGCAATACAACACTGCAATACTTTTCAAGTCTTATATTTTAAATCTATCTTGCATACTGCTATCAGATTATCTTTCCAGAATTCTGAACATGAGCCATCACTTCCCTCTTTAAAAATTCCCCAGTATTCAAGGCCCTCTTTTTTTGTACTGACTTAATTTTCCAGTCTTTTCCCCTAGTTCTCCCCAAGAGGGAACTTCTATTTGGGCCAAACTGTTCTGCAACAAGTCTCAAACACTCTGTCTCCCCACTTTTGCTTGCAGCATTCTCCCCATACAGGACTCAGCTTCCCACGTCTTTCCATGTGAATCCAAATCCATCCTTCAAGTCCAAATTATTCTATTACATTTCCTGAGCACCTCAGCCCCTGGGGATTGATACCTCCTCTGAATTCTTAGAACACTGTTGGCCATAATTGTATCTGATATTGTTTGCTATTGTTTGTTAATCTTTTATATGCATACGCTTGTCTTCCACCAAGGCTAATAAACTCGTTGAGATAGTCTCCTGCCTTAATAATCTCCTTAAATACCTAAACAGTGGTTTGACCAAAGCAGGAAACTTGATAAACATTTGCCAGTTGAACAATGTGCTCCTGAAAAGTACAAAGCATGAACTTAACGCAAAAGGTCCAGTCCTGTCCCTAATTAGATAAATTAATATGGAACAAACCCTTCTTCTTCTGCCTTGCAGTATCATTATCTGAAATATAGGAGACTGGACTTAATGATCTTCTAGCTGTGACAGTCTATGATTCTAAAATATCTACAAATAAGATCATATTTTCAATACATTGAGATATTATTTAATTCCATCTATTGGTGAGCTTTTCTAAAATACAAAGAAACCTCTTTTAGTTCTTAAAATTTGATTTTTGATAAAAGGATTTAGAAAAAAATTTAAAAATTCATAACAAACCCTTACTTTTTTCTTCACAGAAAGAATTCCAGATCCAGCCATATCCTGACTGCTATAAGAAACAACCAGATCCAGCTATATCCTGACTGCTATAAGAAACAACCTGTGTTAACAAGGTCCCATAGTAGCTACGTTTTATGGAGAGGGTTAAAAAAAAAAAAAAAAGAAGAATTTCGGTGGGCTGGCAAACTACAGCCTACCAGTTGGATGGCCCTGTGGCCTGTTTTTGTAAAGTTTTATTGGAACACAGCCACACTCACTTATTACACATCTATGGATGTTTTTGTGTTATAACAGCAGAGTTGAATAAATGCAACAGAGAACATATGGTCTGTAAAGTCTAAAATATTTACTATTAATCCTTTACAGAAAAACTGCGCATCCTTGTTCTATACCCCAACATTCATCATAAAGTGCCAAAGCCCTAGATTTCAGACCCTCAATCATAGCTGGTCACTAGGTGATTTCCCATTTGTTCAACAAATATTTACTGAGATTTCTTATTTCTAACTAAATCTTCATTCAATTTTCTCATCTGTAACATGGTATATAATAGTATCTACTTCACAGAGTTTTTGTAAGGATTATACAAAGTCTTTAACACAATGCCTGACACAAAATTTGAAAAATGATAGTTGCTAGCAGCAGCAGCAGCAGCAGCACCACCACCACCACCGTCATCATCATCCTTTCCTGATGTCCTAGGAAGAGAAGGCTCTCTCTGATGACCACCTAAGTGAAAGGAGAGAACTCTAGCATCCCTGAGGCTTGACTTCACACTTAGGAAAAAAGCTTTATTTTGACTGCACTCAGACTGCAACCATAAGTACATAGGGAATAGTCTTTTGATATGAATGGCAGTTTACTCCACAGTCCTCTGACACCAGAGATATCAAGAACTCAATACCCTTCCCAGAGTTCATGAGGAAGACAAATATGACTGAATTTATAAATACTTCTCTTTAGAACTTCAAGCTTGCTTGCAGCCCCAAACTCAAGCAACAACATTAAAAGACAATGTGAAATTAAATGATTCCACGGACAAATCACTACCCCCATATCAACTATTTGCCCAAATTTGGTAACAAATAGTTTTTAAAAAGCCTAACAGCCTGACATGTTTATGTATTTTTTTTTTTCTAATTAAATCCAACAAGTAAATGATGGGTGTCTATTTTTCTCTTTTATAGTGTTGGTCATGTCTCTTTAACTTGTAGAGGAGGCATCTAAGGAAATAAGTATGCTTTACGCTCTTTTGGGGGCCTTTCAAAATTCTGGTGAAAAAAAGATGATTTAAAATCAAGTGTCAAAAACAACTGATAAGTAATGGATCACTAGGTATATACAATAGAATACTATTCAACAATAAAAAGGAACTAAACATTGACATAACATAGAACAACATAGATGAACCTTTGAAACATTATGCTAAGTGAAAGAAGCCAGTCACCAAAGTCATATAGTGTATGATTACATTTATATGAAATATCCAGAGTAGGCAAATATATAGACATAAAGTAGACTAGAGATTGCCTAAGGTGAGCAGCAAGGATTGAGGAGAAATAGGGAGTGACTTTCACGTAATCCTGTTTTTAGCCTCACTTCTAGATACTGCCTTGCAGTATCATTATCTGAAATATAGGAGACTGGACTTAATGATCTTCTAGCTGTGACAGTCTATGATTCTAAAATACTTGGTGCTGTTGAATCTTGACTTTAAAAGAGTTTTGTAGTGTGAACTGGTTTGCATCTCAGCTTTCCCCACTGCGGGCTTAGCACTTGGTTCTCTCAGGTATGTTAAACTGTCCTGCTTTCCTGATTCCAAACTTTAGTTGTTGCTGTTTTCCCCTTTTCATCTTCTTTAGCTTTCTGAATTTACATCTTTCTAAAACCCTTTTACTATTGTTTTAGTGGGGTTTTAGAAGTCATCATATTTCCTTAGTCCTTCTACCTTTATATTGAAATCCTTAAATGAAATTTCTTTACCAAGAAGTCTGTATATCTTTGAACGCATCTTTTGGTTACGTGGTCAGTTCTTTATTTGAGAGACGTTAATTATATTGAATCATCTTTGCCTTTTATTTCTACTAGAGTCCCTGTAATTTTAAATAATTTCTTTTTCATCTAAATCACTATCTCAAACCTTTCCTTTATGTCAATAATTTGATTTTCAGTGGTGTCCATTCTGTTCTTTGCTATTTATTAATTCTGTAATTAAGTTATTTGGTCCTCAATTTATTTTCTTAGTTTTATAATATCTTCTTTAATTTCATTTTGTATTATCACCTCATCATTGAACTTTTATTTATTAAAGTCACATTTTAATGAGTTGTTTTATAGTTAAAGAGTTGTGTAGCTGTAAATAAATTATTTCTATTCATTATGTTTTTTTTTCAGGTAGATTATCGTTTGCATGTCATTTTTCTTGCTTTCATTTTGTTTGCTGTATGTTTGCACAGCTGACAGGCTGATTCTTTCGGTCTTGTTCGTGCTTGTTTTATTTGTTTTGATATAATACAGATAAGTTCTTGTTTCTCATCCTCCGTATCTGAGACCAACTATCACGTGAATGCCGTTATTTTGTATTCTATGTACTTTTCTATGGCTTCAGGGAATGATGTAAGTGGATGGAATGGAAGGGATATAGTGAACACAATTAAGGTACTGTAAGGTCTTTGTTAGAATATTTCACTTTCTGGAGATTCAGTTATATGTTGTTTCGTTCCACATAATTTAGGTGTATATTCCATTCTTATGGAGGAGTAAGTCTCCAGCTTTGTATTATTTCACTTATTCACTGTTAAGACTTAGATCTTTTGTTTCTGTTAAAAAGTCAGACTCTGCTGGGAAAATTGGACAGATACATGCAAAAAAAGAAACTGGATCACCTTTGTACATCGTTTACAAGAATAGACTCAAAATGGATTAAAGACTTAAATGTAAGACTCAAAACCATAAATTTCTAGAAGAAAACATAGGCATAATCTCTCTGATATCGCTACTAGTAATTTATTTTCAGACATATCTCCTCGAACAAGGGAAACAAACAAATAAAAGATAAACAAATGGGACTATATCAACTAAAAAGTTTTCAGCAAAGGAAACCAACAAAATGAAATGATAACTGACTGAATGGGAGAAGATATTTGCTTATGATACATCTGATAAGAGGTTAACATCCAAAAATATATAAAAAACTCATACAACAACAAAAAAACAAATAATCCAATTAAAAAATGGGCAGAAGACCTGAACAGATATTTCTCCAAAGAGGCAATATAGATGGCCAATAGACATATGAAAAGATGCTCAAGGCCACTAATCATCAAAGAAATGCAAATTAAAACCACAATAAGGTATCACCTCACACCTGTCAGAATGGCTATCATCAATAAATCAAAGAATGACAAATCTTGGTGAAACTGTGGAGAAAAGGGAACCCTCATACACTGTTGGTGGGATTGCAAATTGGTACAGTCACTATGAAAAACAGTCTGAAGGCTTCTCAAAAATTTAAAAATAGATAGTGGTTACCAGGGAGAAGAGAAGAGGGGGGAAGGAGAAAAAAAGTAAAAAAATAAAATCTTAAAAAAAAAAAAAGAATATATTTTTTGACCCAGCAATTGTACTTCTAGGTATTTATCCAAAGAAAAGCAAAACAATAATTCATAAAAATCTATGTGCCCCTATGTTCACTGCAGCTCTATTCAGAATAGCCAAGATATAGAAGCAACCTAAATGCCCATCAACGGACAATTGGATAAAGAAGTTATGTTTCATATATACAATGGAATATTACTCAGGCATTAAAAAAAAAAAGAAATCCTATCATTTGCAATGACATGGATGGACCTAGAGGTTATTATGCTGAGTGAAATAAGTCAGACAGAGAAAGATAAATACCATATGATATGATTTCACTTACATGTGGAATCTACGGAACAAAAAGAACAAACTAATCAAAATAGACTCACAAATACAGAGGACAATCTGGTGACGGCCAGAGGGGAGGGGGCTTGGGGAGCTAGGAGAATGGGGTGAAGGATTAAAGATGTACAAATTAGTAGTTGATAAGATGGTCATGAGGATGGGGAGCATGGCATAGGGAATGCAGTTAGTGTTAATGTAATGGCTAGGTGGAGAGCCAGAGGAGAGAAAGAGTAATTAGGAGGTTCGTTTTATAAACTATATAAATGTCTAAACAATGTACTATATACTTGAAACTAAAAAAAAAGAAAAAGAAAAAGAAAAAAAAAGTTAATCTCATTTATTTTCCCTGCTTTATCAATTACTCCCCAGCAGTTGCTCCCATTGATTCTCAGTCAGAAGATAAAGATACAGATATGTACTCAGTTTGCTTCTTTACAGATCTGGAGATATTAGTGTGAATTTGCAGGATTTCATTAATACATCAGTATGGCTTCTGGGGAGTAGTGATAAGACAGAGTTGGGAGCCTATCTTTATTCCTGTCTGTTCCTTACAGGAATCTTATTTCTTTCCTTGGCCATCAATTTTTAAGCTTTATTATATTTAATTATCCTACTTTGATGCTGTTGACATTTCTGCCAGCTTTTAAAATTATTTTTCACATTTAATTAGGAACTAGTAATAGAAAGTCTATGATGCCATTTTAATAGCCACTTTAATCTGCTAGTGATATGCATGTGTTTTTCAAGAGTTGTTTGTTTAGCAATAATAACGTCTACTAATTTTTGGTCACTTAAACCTATTTTTACAGGTGAAACAATCAAGGCTCTAATATAGAACTCTAATCCATAGTGGGTAATTGGGCCAGCTGAAGCTAGAGTTTAACTTCATTTTCATTAAAACATATACTGTGAAAAATATACAACAGGTACGAACCTGTTGTACTGGATGGCAAAAACAATGAGTAAGGTATTTTTCTTTCTCAGTTTACTCCTTTCACATTCATTTCATCTAGGCTTCAAACATTTATTCCTATCTACATGCATCGGGCAGCAAAACTCTTGAGTGTGGTGGCTTCTGATGAAAAGGTCTATGCTGGGCAAGCACTCAATATATGCTAATTGAAGAAAATGTGACTGGATTGCCTATGTGTAGCCATTAAGATGGCTGCTTTCAAAAAACAGAAAATAACAAGTGTTGGTGAGAATGTGGAGAAATTGGAGCCCTGTGTACTGTTGGTGGGAATGTAAAATGGTACAACTACTAAGGAAAACAGTATAGAGGTTCCTCAAAAACTTACAAATAGAACTGTCACATGATCCAGCAATCCTACTTCTGGGTATATAACCAGAAGAATTAAAAGCAGGATCTCAAAAGGATATTCATATACCATGTTCACTGCAGCATTATTTACAATACCAAGAGGAAGAAGCAACTCAAATATCCATCAACCGATGAATAGAGAAAGAAAATGTGGTAATGTACATACAATGGAATATTATGTAGCTGTAAAAGGGAAGGAAATACTGACACATGCTACAACATGGATGAACCTTGAGCACATTATACTAAGTGAAATAAGCCAGTGACAAAAAGACAAATAGTATATGATTCCACTTACATGAGGTATCTAAAGTGGTCAAATTCATAGAAATATAGAGTAGAATGGTAGTTACCAGGGGCTAGGGAGAGGAAGGAGAGTTGTTGTTTAATGCATACAGAATTTCAAATTTGTAAGATGAAAAAGTTCTGGAGATCTGTTTCATAATAGCATGAATATACTGAACACTACAGAACTGTACACTCAAAAATGATTAAGATGGTGAATTTTATGTTGTATGCTCACCACAATTAAAAAAAAGGAAAGTTCTATAACATTGTCAGAAAGACAGTCCTGTTCCCTGTTCTTCCCACAGCTGCTTTGCACCACTCCTATGCAAGATTTGACTCTACCTTGGCAAGAAAAGACACAGGGAAAAGCTAAGCTTGTGTGGTAAAGAAAAGCCCTCATCCTATCTCATGGGAAAACATTCACATACTTTTCTCAATTTCACACAGTATAATCCAGTTTTCATCCCCTCTTTCCCATCCACTGGGTGGTTTTATTTTGTTTTAAGACAAGAAGAATTGCCAAAAAGAAAAACCCTAGGGCTTACTTCTGCAGGATGGATCCCTTAATGACCAGCTCTTCATCCAAGTCCGCTTCATTAGCCATGAAGAGCAGCCTCTTTCCTGTGCTGTCCACTCCAATGAAGTCACGCTGCTCCACTGAATCATACAAAAGAAGGAAAATCAAACAGAGACATTTGCCCTGCCTGTATGCCTAAGTCTGGGGGGCAGGGAACCTGCTCACATTTCTCTTGGAACCAAATACCGGATTGAG